GCGAATAACTCAGTAAGCTATAGTTTATCTCCACAGTATCATGTTAAGTTGCCACTTACAATGGAGTATGATAAATTTTTATCATTGTTATGTAAAAAAAATGAGTGTGAGCAAACGTTCGGTGAACCTTAAAGTAACAGGAAGATATCCGTATTCTGTCACTCTGCAAGGGGTTGCTTGTTATGCTGAGTTTAACATCAAGGACGATGAAACTTTGAATTTTTTGAGGACTCCGGATGAATACCGGAAATTTCTTTTGATAAAAAAATGTTGGAAATGTACGTCAAGGCTGAAGACGTTTGCAATAATGAGGTTGCGCAAAACAGGGATATCCTTCAGTTATCGGGTGGTTATTTTGGAGCAGTTTTAGCCGAACAGGTTCCGGCTGAAAGAGTTTGGCCTGATCTAAACTTATCTCCACGAGCGAATGAGGAGCGAGGAAATAATTTCTCTCCTACTTTACATGATCCACAAGACGAGTGGTAAACTTCAATTTTCCTTTGTGTTATGATGTTTATTTTTACTGTATTGAATTTGTATTAACACCCATATATTCCACAGAGGGTACCGGCCAGATATGAATTTTACAAGTTATGAACCAACGCCCAGTTGGAATATGCGTAGTTATGGTGTGTTGGATCATGGTGGTCCATCCGGGAGTCATCACCAACAGGATGATGTCCATCATGAGATGACAACACATTACGATTTGTAAGTGAAGTGATATAGCTATATGTAAAGTATTTATCAATTTGAGTAACTCATTATTTTGTTGGTTGTGCAGTGAAAACGAGCAACTTGAACGTCCTATCCTGACTCAATTTCCCAAAGACGACATATTTAATCGGGATCTGGCAGATGCACAAAGTCAGGAAGAGAACAGTGATTATGACAACAATACCGATGAGTCCGGAGATGACACACCCTTCCCTGATGAGGGTGATGATGAGAAGGAAGAGAATGCTGGACCTGATTTGATGAGGGAGCATGCTCCACACCCCGTTAGACCAAGAGTGTAGGAGTCCCACGTGCCGTTTCATTCAAGGGAGATTCCCTACCTTGATTATTTACCAAGTATGCCGGATGTGAATGCCCTCACAAGGGATACTGACGAAATTCGGACAGTAATGTGGGATGAGTCTAGACCAACGGTGCTGTCAAATGGCATGCTTTTTCCTGATAAAGAGTGCCTAAGCAGGGCGGTGAAAATGTACAACGTAAAGGAGTTTCGTGAGATGACGATATGAGAGTCAACTCCGGATGTATACAAGGTTGTTTGCCGTAGATGGTTTACAGGTTGTAATTGGATTCTGTGTGCGAAGAAGAAGAAAATAAATATGTGGGTCGTGGGTAAATACATTGTCACCCACAATTATGAAATGGACACATTCAGTGGGAATTACTTCAACTTGGATGTTGACTTGATTTCTCTTGTCTTGATTCCACACATTGAAGCGTCCATAAGGTACAAGATCAAATAGTATATTACATCCGTCCACCAGGAATATGGGTGCACCATTACCAAAATAAAGGCATTTCTCGGGCGCAAACGTGCGTTTGAAATTGTTTATAGTAACTGGGATAAGTCATTTGCATCTCTATCTAGGTACATGGCCGCATTGGAACACTTTAACCCTGGGACTGTTGTTGAATGGAAGCTTGAGCAGAGTCCGGAAATACCAGAATATATATTCAGATACGTGTTTTGGGCATTTAAACCAGCAATTGATGGTTTTGTGCATTGCCGGCCGGTAATATCCATAGACGGCACTCATGTCTATGGAAAGTATGATATTAAGCTGTTGATCGCTGTTGCAGTAGATGCTAATGGAAGTATATTTCCCTTAGCTTTTGCTATTTGTGCCAATGAAAGCCAAGAGATGTGGACACTATTTTTGAACCACTTGAAAGAGTACATTATCAAACAACGTTCAAGTATTTGTCTAATATCTGATCGGCATGGTGGTATTTTAAGTTCTGTACAGAATTTGCGTGCATGGCAGGAACCGTATGCCTGCCACCGTTACTGTGTGAGGTACCTGAAGGCCAATTTCTAGAAGGCATATCCCAACAAGGATTTGCATGATTTAATGTGGATGGCTGCAACAGATCACCAAGAGTGTAAATTCAGGAGGCACATGGAATCTATCAGGCAGGAAGACGAGGGAGTCTATCGTTGGTTGATGCGACATGAGCTTGACAAGTAGACTTTGCATGCGGATGGTGGCAGAAGATGGGGAATTCTAACTACAAATGTGTCAGAGTCTTTCAACGGGTTATTGAAGTCTGCACGAGGATTGCCTGTCACTGCCATGGTGCGGATGTCATTCAAGCTAATGGCGGAGAGGTTTGTTGAAAGGGCTACAGGTGCATTGTCATTGATGAAAATGGGTGTTGAATTTATGCCAATACCAATGAAAAGATTTGAGAAATACAGGAAGCGAGCACATTGGCATTCATTTTTGCAGTATTGCAACGAGCGAAATATTTTTGAAGTTAACACCGCTATCCATCACAACCGGGGAATAATACATACACCGTAAATGAATCCAGAAGGTTATGCTCTTGTGGGAAATGGTCCATCTACCACATGCCGTGCTCACATGCCATCAAGCGCTTTCAACATACAGGTTTAGGTCCAACCAACTACGTTGATAAAGAATATAGTGTTGCTGCATACTTAAACACCTATAGTGGGCAGTTGTAGCCAGTGGGTGCTGAGCATTATTGGCCGCCGTAACCATTTAAAATGGTGTGTAACAAGGAGTTTTTGCGTCAGTGACAAGTGCAAAAAAAAAACGTGTATACGGAACCAAATGGATGTTGGTGATACCGTTTATGCGCGCAAAGGTGGCATATGCTCGCAAACAGGACACGACCGTCGTAAATGTCCTTCAACTGGTTTGGGTGGCGGTGGTAATCCAGCTCCTGGTGAAAGTTCATCTAAGTTGCCCAACTATCAAGGATACACGTAGTATTTTGTTTCCGTAATGTGATTGTAATAAGTGTATGTACTTGGTTATCTTGCAGAATATATGAAATAAAATTATGTTTCCATTGCTGTTAAATCTTATTGATATTTAACTTTAATACTTTAGTACAACAATCTAACATAAACCCATTGTTTTTTAAAAAAATAATTGTCTTGTCGACTTGAAAAAGCTGCTCGCCTGCAAAAGCTATCTTCTGGAAAAGCTGTATTGTACCCGAAAGAATCTTTAACACACGAAGCATAGCGCGGTTAAATACTACGTTATGTGTGTTGTCTTGTCGACCTGAAAAAGCTGCTCGCCTGCAAAAGCTATCTTCTGGAAAAGCTGTATTGTACCCGAAAGACTCTTTAACACGCGAAGCATAGCGCGGTTAAATACTACGTTATGCGGGTTGTCTTGCCTATAAATAACTAGCGCATTTTAGTTATTATCTGCGCTTAACCAAAACAAATAGCAAAACCTTCCATACATTTTTCATTTTTCTTGCATTAACAAATGTCTGGACGCAATGACCAACCAAGGTGATATTGTGGCAAACGTGCGATTATGA